TTTTACAGCAACATTGAATCTGTTTCAGACTGTCAATATTTGCAACATTGAGAGCATGTAATGTAATTTTTTTACAGAAACTCTAGAAGCTTCAATAACAGCAACTCATTATTCAAATGACAAGATCAGAACCTGATTTTCTGACAAAAATGTAGGAGATATCATTTAGGAATTGTTTGCATTATTCATACCTACTACATCTTGTACAACATTTTGTCAATGTAATCAATTATTATTGAAACATCGAGTCGGTATACAGAAAGTTTTTGAAATTTTTCAGTTTCAAAGCAGATGATATTCATCCGAATAGAAGAACTAACAAAACTAGAATAATACTAAACACAAAATTCCTGTTCAATTTAATACAATCAAGATTTTCTCTTTGAATATTGTAAATTTCAACTAGGCCGACCAGACTTCTAAATAACGATTATGGTCGTAGAAAAATAACGTCTTGCTCCCTTGAAAACATGCATAGACATAGACTAAACCCTTCGTGAATGTTGGAGCGTCATGAAAACATCTAATTAATTTCGAATTAACATGCCGTAAGAATAAATGAAGTTGTGGAAGTGAAAATCAGATTAGGATAGAAGCAGAACAAAGATTTTGGGAATCATTTGGTTTGAATCTGCAAGCAGATAAATCAAATAATGTAATACAAAGCTTATTAACTTTGTTCTCCTATTTCATTATGCAGATTTTCATCTCCCCAATCGAATTAGTTCATTTCATAGGTAATATAAAAATGCAAATGACACAGTGTTGGAAAATGAGCAGAGTAGATAATCGATACTGGATGTTTACGAGGGCCGCCATCCGTGCTTTCCGCCGCTCTCTTCTCCCTTAAAAATATTCGCTGGAGTCTGATTTCAAACGAATGCTTTCAGTTGTGAGATCTAGCATTTGTAAAATTCAAAAATACCACACCGAAAATTTTGTCGTGTTGAAAAGGACGTTACAAGTTCATTTTATTGTGTAATTTTCACTGGACGAATGGTCAAACAGCCCAAAACCGGTCTGCAAATCTATGTATGAAAATCTATTGTGGCAGTTTTCTCGCCAACAGCATATGCAGAAATAACTTCAGTGAAGAATNCTGGTGACGTTTTAAAGACATGCATTTTATTTTATTTTAATATTTTTACTATCGACGTATGGCTAGCATTAAATATAGTGGATGCCTGTCTACTCCATATATGTGGGTTTTCGTCAAACTCAAGCATCACATCTAATTTGAGTTCATCACTCATTGGCAGCTACTTTTTTATCTGCCCCACATGACCAAGCTCGCAAAACTGCTTTTCTATTTTGCTTATTGTTCCTGGAGATATGGGTGGTGAATTAGGAAATTTCTTATGAAATAGGCGAACTACTTCCTGTTGTGTTCGGGTTTTATCTCCGTAACCAATCATTTGTAAAACTATTATTTTATGAATTTCTGTTAATCTAACCATTTGTCAGACTTGAAGTTAACGAACTTAAAATACTGACAAATAATGTTGTAACATGCCAAACAAGTTGACAAGGCGTTTTACACTAACGTTGCCACGGAAATTATTTACAGTTTTTTAATGGATACCATCTAAAAAGAACATTGCTATGGTTTCTGCTTACTTTCTTATTATCAATACCTCAACATGAAATAAGTTTTGAGTATATTGTACTAAGTTTTGAGTGTAAAAAAATCTAAAGCAAATTTACTTCAAAGTTCAAGCCAGTCTCGATATACCTACACAGTAGGTTTAATGGACTAACGCCTATCAGAAAACAACTATTCCCATGGCTCTACAGAGAAATCTTAATGACTTTTTCTGCAGAATAAAAATCGACTCGAGTCGAGTTTGATTACTTACCCCCCAGAAAGGGATCCCATATCTTAGATGTGATTCTGCTAATGAATAATAGACAGTTTCAGCTGCAGTTAGTCCTAGTTCGTTAGAGGTTATTTCCACAGCATAACATCCAGATGAAATTTTTGTTAAGAGATAGTATTTGGTCCCCAAATTTCAACTTATTATCAATTAATAACCCAAGAAATTTGTTGTATAACGTATTCTCAATCACATTCGAATTCAAAGCTAGAGAACTATTATCAAGAATGCAATTAAGAGATAAAACTTTGGTTTCTGAGACATTGAAAGCTAATAAATTTGCCATACATCAATCTGAGAGTTTGGAAATATCAGAGCAGATGGCATTCTATAAATCATTTGTGTTGGTATTGCGCCATAATATTGTAGTATCGTCGGCGAATAAAAAAAAATTACCCTCAATATTAATGGTAGTCAAGTCATTGATATAGAGTAGAAATAGGGTAGGTCCCAGTACTGAGCCTTGTGGTACTCCGTTATGTCAGAAACATCAGATACTGTGGTATATTCAATCCTTTGACTTCTACCCGATAGATAAGATGCAAACCATTTATGAGTAATACTTTCAATTGCAAAGAGATAAAGTTTCCTGAGCAGATATACCTACTGCTGTAGTCCCTCTCATTTCTGGACAGACTATAGCTAGTTTCATTTCACTAGTTCGGACNATTTCACTATTATTTCATTTCAGGTTTATTTTGGTTAATATAATTGTTATTTTCAGCAATTCATTTTCAATTCTTCTTTTTTAGTTGTGTCAGGGATTTCAAATAATTTTATATAGTAGACAATGGAAGTCCGAACTAGTGAAATTCATCATGAAACATTGTCAATCACCTTCAAACAAATACAGCTACTTTCATTGTGTCCTCAAACTCGAAAACACTATAACGTTGACTGTGACATCGAAACTGAATTGATCAATAATAATATTATATTAAATAACGCCTCAAAACGAACCAACACGGACAATTTCCAATGCAAAACCGCTCCACTCACTAAATCAATCCGGCGGACCGTAACACGTCATTACGTGTTTCGATTTCACTTCTGCGGTTATTTAACAATTAAAATGGTACTTTACTCACGACCTTTTGATGTGCGCCGTTATCAGACGCGATTCGATGGACCTCAAAACATGTAAAAGCGTTATTATGTTATACATCGTTTCGCACATAACACACACATACAAAACTTCCCCTGCATTCGCATTCGATAATTCAAAGGTACATCAATCAATTAGTCGAGTCGCTTATTGCTCGTATAATTAACAGATTCGATAATTGATAGGACGAAACAGACGGCGGCTGATCGATAAAATTAGTTGTTACTAATTTTAATTGCGAGAGTGTGTTCAGGCCATTGAACTAGCTGATTGAACATTGAATATTCTAATTCCGTTCAGCCTAATTTTCGATAGCAATATCATTGAGGTGGGTACGAATAATTTTGAAAGAATGGAGACTATGGAAAATGAAACAAACATTTTAGGATATTTTTATACTTATCCTCATGCGTCAGCATCTAGTGCTAGTGATCGGTGGATACATCGTTTGGGTCCTTGGATTTGACCGCTTCGATCACCAGATCTGACTCCCCTAGATGTCCACCTCTGGGGAAAAATCAAAGAAAAGGTATATAGAACACCTATCGATACGAAACAGGAACTGAAATATCAGGTTAGATGTGTCTTCGAGGTGATCAAGCCATCGGAAATCCACAGAGCCACGACTGATCACGTAATAACATCAATCCATCAATGTTTACAAATAAATGGTCAACATTACAAGCACATGAGCTACTGAATTTTTGTCATATCAGTATCAAATGTCAAATAATTGCAAAGCTAGTTTCATAGTATTTATCTCTTGTTTTTCTAGTGTAGAATTATTTTTGTTATCAATTTAATTTTGAAAACTGTTAGTTCTTGTGTCAAAATAGTAATGTTTGTCATACACCCACTATGAAATTTCATTCATGTATTCTATTAAACCTTTCTGAACTAATGTAAAGTCATCATTCATTATTCGATATGTTCAATAACACACTTTCCCCGAATTTTGTATTAGAAATGTTATATTTGTATAGAAGAATTAATATCTCACAAATGGTCAGAGATAGGTACAGGACATATTTGAATAAAGTTGTTCATATTAGTTGACTGAATTCGAAAATTGAATAATATACAGGAACATCGGTAACCAAAATTTAAAACTCTCATCTTTTTTTATTTTCTAGATACGTCCAATAGACCATTGAATATGGAATACCCTGTATATTCTTCTGTCAAGTTTGAAGACGCAGCGTTGTTTAGTATTCGTTTGACAGCCAGCAATAGCGGCTGAATTTGTGAATATGGAGAAAATTGGTCATCGTTATGTGATATAATTCTCTTATTTCAAAAGCCTCAGCCTATGGACTAACAAGGTCTGACCTTTCAACGTGTGATTCCTAGCACGGGTAGAGAGGTAGAGGTAGAGAGTCAAGAAGTGTTTTCCTAAAAAAACTATTCTCTGACAAAATGGTTTAGACTTTCGCGGCTGAGGATTTCAGTGTCACTGTTTTTCGAGTTTGAAAGCCGTGGATTTTTGGAATTTATTTCTGACGTTTCGCTGGCGCGACTGTCTAGCTTCTTCAGAGATTTAAACATCATGACTTGCTGTCTGATGACCAATCTCTCACGGAAATATTCCCTTTTCAATCACAATAAATCTACTACGACTAAGATTGAATTAATAAACCGCATGAATGTTCATATGAATCGTCATCCTAAAAAGAGCAGAACTATCTCTTCCTCTTACATTACGTCGTACTATCATGCAAGAAATGAGTGATTTGTCTTGTAAAGTTAGCCAAAATGATGCTGATGAGGATATAAGGCAAGTGTCTTATCCAGACACTTCGAAGTACACCATCGAACATGATGGTGTTTCATGAAAGTATAAACCATCTTGAATCACTTGAATCATTGGTGAAAACGTATAAAATTCCGTTCAACAGTTTTTGAGTTTATACGACGAAGTAATAATATATAATGGTAATATAATTCAGAATTCAATCGTACATATCGGAGGTATTCAACATTTCCTAACTGTAAAAATAAATATAACTGGTTGATATACTCACTTGAGATTAGGTTTGGCCTTGTTGATGATGACTTCACAAACAGGACAGTAACTGTTATCCTGGAGGAACTTGATGATACAACTCCTGCAGACTGAAAAAAAATAGCACATTCAAAAAGAAATTGTGAAATTAAAAAACAACTGGTGAATATGCTCTTTGCAACAAAAAAGTCTATCATTATCAATGAAGATAATAGCAAATCCTAGTAAAGAATCTCTGGTCATCAAAACTGCAGTGGAGGAACAAATCTTACTGACATTCTGGATGTTACAATCTTATTAGAGTCTTTTCGAGTACTGGAGCAGCTGGGACATTCCATCGCGTAGATGCTTATTCTAAACAGTGCTTCCCTAACGACAAGAAGGTCATGTACCTCATCCATGAACCAGAATGGGTACAGATGAATGCTGGAATCTGTACTGCAGTTCATCACCCTCCTTGTACAGTTAAATGACATTGTAACAAAGGTCAATACTAGAAGCATGTAGCTTTTCAAGAGTCATCGAGATAGTTCAGCGCTAGCGAAAAAGATATTGGCTCCTTCGTTAACGAGAGAAAAAACTATTTGATTTCCTTATAACCTAGCACCCGTATCAAGGTCATGTGACATTTCTCTGCCAGTTACATTGAAGAGTATTTGCAGTTTCAATCGGTTTAGACTCGCAAGTAAGTATATGACTTCAGAATTTTCAGGATATATATTTTTGGACTACATAATATACTTTGCACATACGTGACTATTGCATGCATTTTTGGTTGAAAACTTGCGACGATGGGTTGTCCCTGAATATTTATCTTGCAACTTGTAACCTGTCGTTGATCTTTCAATTTAGAACCACTTCAAACTTCACCTCGAAGTGGGAGGCAAAAGGTATATTCGTTTCCATGTGACTCAAATGAGATTCTATTCTGAACCTTGAGGTAGGTTCACTTAGTTGGATATCAGCCTACCAGTGAAACATGGAAACATGTAAAAGCAACTCCTGAAAAATAACTAAGTTTATTTTTCTAGATTAACCAAGAGCTAGTTTCACAAAATACCGTCGAACAAGGGTTTTTAACAGCTCCAGAAAAAACGTCACATATATTCCAATGTGCAGGGAAGAAATGGTATGTTTAGAGCTGCTGAGAGGCGCATCTAAGGGGAGCTTCTTCCTTGCAGAATAATGCCCCTGTCCCGGACTAGCAGGATTTTTGTCAGGCATGCGTGCTTACCTGATTTGAATCTGATAGAAAATTCATCAGATCCGTTTGAAATGATGATCAAAACTAGTCGAGGTTATCCAGATGGACATTAGTCCATCTGCCACAGAATAATGGGAGAGAAAATCTTGGCAATTTAATCAAAAGCATGTCATTATGATGATGTAATGCCTTGAGGGCGAGATGAAGTATACCTAATATCGTTTTAATCAACACAATAATACTAAACAATAATTCTTTTAACATCCACTGATTTGGTTTTGACAGAAACAGGCATTGGTTAAGATATAATTTTTCTTGTGTCTGTCAACAGATGTTTCAGGTACAGTCGAGCGTATTTATCTCGTGAATATGTAATAAGAATGTGCTATTACCACTGCTCTTTGTACGATAGAAACATTGTAGTATGAACCTCTTTTGTATACTTACACGAATGCAAACACTCCGATATCGTCGTCGCGTCTATTAAATATCCTTTGCAGAGATAACATGTCAGATACGGGTTTATCTCAGTCAGCTTTATCTTCTCCGGCCTTTTTATCGGGTGCTCCATTCTGTTGATAACGCCTGTAAAAGAAGTACTTAACGTTAGTGAGTTCCATGTTTTTTTTTCACATTTTATTAATCTTAAGATAACAATGATGTATCTTTGGTTCGAGAAGTATTTTCCAAGTTTGTTAACAATATTCAATAATGTGAATTAAATGAACGATACGCTGCCTAAACTGAAATGAAAAGATGAGCACTTATACGACCATCCACGATTTCAAATCAAGAACCACCAGCATAACGCTGTTTCAACCTATTTGGCATAGTCAGTACCGAGCAAGCGATTTTTGATTGAAGACACAGGCGCCTTGAAGATTTTCCTGTAGTACTTGTGCTTTGACCTTGAAAAAAATCGAGCAAGATATAAGTGGAATCATCTAGTGGTGTGTCAACCAGTTTTGCTGAACCAATTTTTCACGTTGGCGTACTAAGTGAGATTGAAATTTTAAAATATTCCCAAAAAAGATAACGATCTCGTTTCATCGGAGAATTATGTAGAATACGGAAAAACTATTAAATACTTGTAAATCTGACCTCTTGACCACCAATTTCAAGGTCAAAGTTTCATTTTTTCAATGTTTTTTTAAATCGTGAAAATTTGCCAATATGCGATTTTTTTTTATATGTGTTCCCAAAATACGAGGGAATCACAGAAAAATGAGTGGTCGCACGTTGAAAACTATTGCAAAATAACATAGCTATAAATTTTCCATAATTCATTTTCGAGCCCCACTTGATATTTTTCAAAAAGTTGCTAAAGGTCATTCCGAATCGAATGAGACCTGGCCCATAATTTTCGATGCCCCTGGGCAGAAGTTCCAAACAAAGGATCTTGTGACCCAGAGTATTAAGCTCTATTACCGATTCAATTTTTATCTCCTCAATCGTCGCAAAACGCCGTCTTTTCATGTGTCTCTTCAATATTAGGAACAGGAAAAAGTCGCAGAGGGGGCCAAATCTGGTAAATACGGTGGCCGAGTGATGATTACGGTGTTGTTTTTGACCAAAAAATTATGAACAAGCAAAAACGAGTGAGCTGGAGCTTTATCGTGGGCCTGTTCCATCGGGACGATTGGACTTTGGTTTCGTTGTCAAATTTTAACAGACTGAGGAATTTTTCTAAAGTTCAAACAAAGAAAATGCAGTAAAAGGAAAAACTGGACATCTCAATAATCGTCCGAATATATTTTCAAACGGAAATCGAGTACGAGCAAATCGTCTCAGCTGATCCCCAGAAACGAGTATGCAAATAGCTAGGCTAGCAGCAATAAAACAATAGGACATTTTAAAATTCCTGCGACGATCACAGGGTCTACATTCCTCTGGTGCCTCGAGCGATGCATCGGATGACGTAACAGTCACCGCACATACACACACACTCCCTTGTCACCGTTCGATATAAATGAAATTACGCCGATGATTACCATAATGACATCAGTTCAGTTACGTAGCTCCCACAGAAAGTTGTTATCAGTCACGACTGGTGAGTATTACCGAAAGAAGGCACGTCTAGGTCGATATCTGCTATTATTATGAAGGAAGGTCGTTTTGCGGATTCCAGACATCAAAAAATTTGCAGATAATAGTAGTGATGATAATGATGTTGCTGAAAAACTGCAAGTTATCTAAGAAAGTATTCACCACAGATTAAAATAGTGAATGAAGATTTCAGTATTAGTATGAGTTTTCCATGTCTTTCATATTTTTCAAACAAATCAAAGCGGTGGGAACTTCTGAAGATTCGTCGAGTTTATGTGACGCCAAAGCTCCTTTCTCATACGTTGATGTGATGAAATAGGTCAACACTTGAAGAAAAGTCGTAACGTTGTTACGGTATCATTTTGTCATTTGTTCTGTTTTGTTTAGTTCCCATTCACCGATAAACAACTATGCAAGGATATATTCGAACGCGTTAATTATATTCGAACACATATTCGATTCCCCTAAGGATTCTGTGTTCTAAGGGAATGGTGAATCTTTTATAAGAATACAAAATTGTTTTATTCTTGGCATAGGCCTTCTTTTATCTGGATGCTATTTCCTCGTGTTAGCATTGCTGTAAGACTAGACATCCTTGCATGAATGACTAATAAAATAGTGGCAGTAGTTAGTAGTTACCCACTGTTGAGCCGATCACAATTGTGGTACCGACAGAACACTGCAGACCTAAGTGTGGAACTCTAAGACCATTCTTGTTCTTCAAGCCACTTCGAGGGAGACACACAGATAAGCTTAGCTATTGAGATAGGAACAAAGAACTCATCAGTAACTAGATTTTTGATGCTTGATTAATCATCTCAACAAAGATTTTCGTTCTTCAAATCTGCCCAAAAGGGGAAAAAATATTAGTGTAGGGTATATGCTTTTATTCCTATGTAGATGAATTAATTCCCTCAAGCTACTGTCAATATAGCCATATCTAAGGTAAAGTATAACTTCAAAACAGCAACGTCTCAAGTATTGAAGAGACATTTTCATTTTCTCCTTGGGGAGCCTGGGTTCATTACAGTCCCCTTAGAATTGAAACATTTGTGCTATAGGTGTAATATAATTTATATCTTATGAACATTTTGGTATTGTTTACAATTATGAGAGTAATATCTTCTCACATTTGACACCTTGTGGCCTCAGGAGCTCAAGGCTTCCTGCTAGTATTGTAGGGGGGGTCCTATAATAAAGATTGATAAAATTTATAAACTGACAGATAAATCAGGGGATTTGTCGACAAGTTTGGAACCAACTGAGAACGGTGTAGATGTTAGGAAAATGAATTATAAATGTTTTAACTGGAATCGAGTTTGATTCCAGTTAAAACATTACCGTTTAGTGTAAATTCCACGTTTTTGTTATCTATGCTGTATAAGCTCCAGGGTTGATAAAGCGGTGGCGCTCTACCCTCCATCTTACCGACGCCCTTCTTCATTGTTTAAAAGCTGGCGGCCTACCCTGGGAGCTATGCTCTCTATTCCCTAGTATAGCTACCCCAACGCCAAGTTGTGGAACAACGAAGAATCGTTTACAAATTGACTTAATTAGTCAACCATAAATACAAGGCGTGACAACGTATTCAAGTAACCTTTAATTTAAAGAGAAAATTTTACTAACCCTCCAAATTGACATGTAAAATTACTAAATCTATTGATTTCCAAGTATTCCAAAAGATTGAGTTTCAAACTATTCTCTTCTAAATGCAATACGTCATGATCGTGATTGAACTCATGGCCCTCTGTCCAAACATGGTCTGCAAATGTGGAATTTGTCTTCACATTCAAGAAACTACTATTGAGTATGTTCTTTTATTCTTTGGGAAAAGGTTCTCCTCGTCTGTCCAATATGAAGTTTTGGGCAAGAATAACCACAAGAAACACATCGGCAAAGTTCTTCAAATGGTGCTAGACGATCGCCGAATTAAAGTGAGAGAGGTAGCATAGGTTATGAACATATCAAAAGAACGTGTTTGTCAGAAATTAAATCAACATTTACGGATAAAAAAGCTGGTAGCGGGTTGGGTGCCGCGTTTGCTCATGTTAGACGTGTTCTGATGAGCATTTCCAACGCTCTGTTGAGGCAGTTCAGGCAGATATAACTTGGATACACCATGGGCCCGAAATAAAAATACAGTCCAAACAGTGGACTGTAAAGAGGGAACCGGCTGGCAAACTGATGACGATTGTTTTTGGAAGTTATTTTAATCAATTGTATTCAAAAAGGAAACACCATTCCAGGAACATACTACGCATAATCACTCAACAAGATGAAGGCAGAACTTGCCTGAAACCGGTCACACCTTACTCACCAGATCTAGCCCCAAGTGACTTAATTTTGTTCCCTCATCTTTGTTACGTCGGAAAAACGAACATAGACCCCAACTCAAAAAAACCAGAACTAATATCAAGGAAAAAAGGGAGTAGTATCTACTTCAGGATTTGGGTAATAAGTTGTTGCTGGGTACTCTAGTTAAAATTACAAAAACCTTGAATCGTGGTCTCCGAATTCAACAAATGAAGTAGAAACTGTTACACAATATCTTCCAAAGACACAAAGTGTATAGTCGAAGTAAACGATATTGTGAACATATAAACTTGGCGGCACTCTTAAATACCAAAAAACCAATACATAGAAATGAACCGGCTGTGAAATAGTCCACGTGGACTGCAGAATTGGCTGTTCGTATTGGATACTTTTTACGAACCGAGTTTTATGATTGGCTGAAGAGTTATAAAATTGAATTTGAAGTCATGTTACGGTGACGAATAGAAATTGGGAATGCGGGGATGGTTATCACCGTCGTGTTCAGTTCAGGAACTGATCGCGATTTGAGTGTTGAAATTTGATATTGGTGCAGTTATAATTCTTTAAAATGTGGCGTCCTTGGACAAGTACTAATAGTGATAACGAGTGTGATAACAACGCAGACTTTTTCCTGTGTAGTGATTCCAATAACGATGGTGAACAATGCGAAAGAGAGGTACCAGTGAATAAGAATCGGATGCATTTGAATATTGAAACAAAGAGAGTATGTTTCAATGTATATAAGAATCTACATTTCAAGTTTGGTTTCGAGGGAAACAAACTATTACAAGTAACATCAGATTTGACCGAAATTCCTTTATCAACTGAACGTGAAATAGTCAAAAACAAACCATATGAACGCAAGACGCAATGTGATACAGGATTACCAAAACCTTTAGATGTTCATGTTTCTATTTTGACGATTACTATACCAAAAACCAACTACTTGAACTTTTATAGACAAAATTATTTGAAAAAGTGTATGCCCTTGAGAGTATTGCTGAAAAGTATGGACACGCCATACTGAGACTTCCCCCCAATTTTTGTGTTTTCAATCCCATCGAGTTGATTTGGGGAAAATTGAAATGAAGCAACCGGCGTAAAAATAATTATCCAAAAATTGATAAAAAGGTAATAGAGCTAATTAAAGAAGAATTATCTAATATTACTAAATGAGACTGGCAGAAAAAGATTAAAAAAGTAATTTTAGTTCAAAAAGACTATATGGAGATGGGACACTTCCATATTAATGGTGGAAATAAATTCATTATTGATTTAAATGACGACAGTGATAGTAAACCAGAGAATATGGATGAGGAATTATCAGAAGCTTTCGAATAAAGTTAGTGAAGTGTTTTTGAAGCGATCGATTGCATATATACAGGGCTATTCAAATTCGTTTCTGTACATCGGGATCTCGTGAACGATAAGAGATAGAGTGTCGGTTAAATTATGGCAAAGTTGCGTATTTTAGAGACCTATTCAATGATGCTCTTTTGGTTCTGGAGACATACAGGAAAAACCAGAAAGTATTTTCAATCAATCAGTAGTATTTTCAATGATCACCCTGATCACTATATATTATATAGTTATTGTGATTGTTATGTAATCAGAAATGATTATTGAATAACGAAATTAGTTAGCTCCTTAACTATATTATTAAAGGGGAGCTGTTGGAAAGTAAGTTACACTATATCGTTTACTTGAACTATACATTGATATGAAACCCCTCTGAAACTATAAACTCGAAAAAAAGTACACACTAAGTACTAGTTAGGAATGCTAAAATTTCACCAGCATTTTTACAGAACGC